GTTACCCTGACATAAGGGAGCTTGTTAATAAAGAGCTCTTCGGATCCTTTCCTTTGTACAGGCACTGTATGAATATTTATGGAATATTTCATCTGTAAATAGCATTAAAATATAAACAGAGCATACCAAGAAGTAGGAAGGCCATTTTCACCGAATGCATAGCAGTGCTGTGAGCATGCTGGGGTTCCATTCCTGGTTACCAGCTAAGGAACAGCAAAGAAGGAAAAAGTTGTTTGTTTAACAAATGAGGGGACAGCAAATCGTGTGATCCGGTGGAGCTTTGGTGTTCTTGTTAATCAAGTCTTCTGGGTAACAGAATGATCTCTGCATGTCTGTACACGCAGACACACATGCAGACACACACGCAGACACACACACAGACACACACGCAGACACACACACACACACACAGACACACACAGGTGCCTCATATTTGTAACCACTGCAACTGGTCATATGAAAACGTGGCTTTTGTAGATTAAAAGAGGTCAAATATCAGAATTTTTGTATGACTCTGCATAATTAGTGCCGCCCTAAGTTTCTGGCCTTTCTTTTGGGCACAGGGAGGGGTGGGAATATGGAATCGCTGTTTACATGCGGGCTCCTTCTAGCAAGCTGAGCAGGAAAGGGAGGAGAGGGAGGAGTTGAATGAAGCCTTCACGGAGACCCACTTCTGCAGATTCCATGGACAACACTGCCGCTTCGAGCAGCAGGATCGAGGATGTGGGGGTGGTACCCAGCCTGTACACCAAAGATGCTGCCCACTCACCAGTTGTGGCTGTGTGCTCTGGATTGCAAACCTCTGGTACCCATCACAGATGTATTACCAATTTTCAAAGGGATTAGTATACAATAAAATACACTAAACAAGAAAACCACCCAGAACGCAATGAATCACTCTTTGATTATTCAGGAGGCATTTTAGGATCCTGTAGTGCCTTAGGGGCAGCATTACAAACATCAATTATCTTATGGTAAATGTGTAGAAGAGCTAGTTCCCTAGTTAAGAAGACCTGGGCAACTCTCTTTTATGATGTGTTTTTTTAAAAAATAATGTTCTATCCCAGGCTTTTCTACTTTCAAGCACTTGCCCAGAACGTTGCTTCTATTTTTGCAAAAATGGCTCATTTACCAGCTTGGAGAAGTACCTCTTCTATGGTGTGCCTGAGTAAGTAAAACTGAAATTCTCTCATTTTCCTATGAGCCGTTTCCAGGGTAGACTTCTGTCCTTCTTCTTAACCATTTAAGTATGGCTCTGATTAAATTCAAAACACCATACAAGTTTGGTCTGACAAAGATGACAATTTTTTTTTTAGAAAGGGCAGTCAAGTAGCACACTTAGGCATGGTTTGGTTTCAAATGCTTCTTAAAACCAGGAAGGTGTGTGATTCTATTGCATGCAGGCCAATCGCAGGCTAAGTTTCCCCTTCTTCGAAAAGTACTGCGGTTGGTAATGAAAAGAAAAAAGTCTGGTCCTTGGAAATCAAGTCCTTGAGCACTTTTGAAAACAAATCCGTCCAAAACATCTGTAAGAATGTTATCTTTAAAAACCCAGGTGTCTAAAACATAAGGGGAAAAATAAACAAATGAGATTTTGTCCACCAAGTTTTTGAAAAACAGGTTTCCAGCAGAAACATAGTGTCTAGAATAAAATGCTGTTGGCTGTATGAATCTTTATTTTCCATGGTGATTCTTCCTTTTTGGTCTTCAACACAGAATGGAATTTCTAGGTAATCTCGTCAGATTTTCCAAAAGTACTGCTCAACTAAACAAGGGGATTCCAGGCAAGACAACATCTCTGGGAGGCTCAACTTTGGCTTGAATGTATTAAAAACTTCCGGTTCTTAATGTAAATTTTAATGGTGACAGACCCAAAGCAGCCAGACACAAAGGTTAAGGCATTATACGTGAATAACTGAAGACAGATGTGCTGTATTTCTATCAAACCAAAACCACAGGCCTGTTTCTTGCCCAATATATGGTGAAAGGTCACCAGAATTCAGAGAAAGGAGGATATATTACAGCTGACTGCGTGCTTTAAAGAATTGCATCACACGCACACACACACACACACACACACAATGCACACCCTACACACACAGAAAGAATAAAGGAGCACCTCCAGGTTGCTTATACACATATTTACTCCTACTATTATTAGGTAAGCCTACACATAATCTCAAGAAATGTCATTTTACTTGAAGCAACTCTGGCTTTGTAGCTACATTTTGTTACAAGTTCAATATCATCTAACTGCTACCTTAAAATTATGTCTCCAATGGGGACCCTATTGGTATTTTGTAAACTGCTGCTGCTTCTCCTCTTTCTCTGTTAGACATGGTCTAATGGGTTTAGAAAATGACATTCAAGATGCTGCTTTGCCAATTAGAACTTCCGCTACCTGATTCTTGAAGGACATAAGCATGCCTAATTGTGTGCTCAGACATTTTATTAAGTTGTTTTGAGTGCTGAAAGTCTTTTAACCTTCATATAGACCCATATTCATTAAAAAAATGTTTTCAGGGAAAAAATAACAGGGAAAAAGGCATTTAATTACAAATAAAAGTTCTGTTTCCAATATGCACAGATTTTCTGCCAGTCTACCAAAGCAAAGGCAGACTGCAGATGGTAAAAACTGAGTTGGGAAAACTGCACAGATATTTTCCCAAAACGTTCTCAATGATTCTGCAAATGCCATTCTGGGTAGCTGGGAGGGAAAGACAGCAAGCATCATCTTGCCAGGGGCAGAGCCTACTCTCAAACCGCTTTTGAGAGAAGAGCTGAGCAAATATGATTTAGATGTTTCCCCTGCCCTAGAAACATAGTCCTTGGGTTAACTTGGTCTTTGGACAAATTGAGGAACAGTGGCTTCTACCAGGGAAACTATCTCATGCAAGAAAAAAAGTTCCCTTAAGCATCAAATGATTGTTCCTTAACTTTCTTTTAGAAAGTTACCTTTTCAGCCAGCTTGGTGGCTCAAGCCTGTGATCCCAGCACTTTGGGAGGCTGAGGCGGGCAGATCATGAGGTCAAGAGACTGAGACCATCCTGGCCAAGATGGTGAAACCCTGTCTCCCATGAAAACACAAAAATTAGCTGGGCGTGGTGGCACACACCTGTAGTCCCAGCTACTCAGGAGGCAGAGCCAGGGGAATCACATGAACCCACGAGGCAGAGGTTGCAGTGAGCCGAGATTGCACACCTGCACTCCAGTCTGGGTGATAGAGCGAGACTCCGTCTCAAAGAAAATTAAAAAAAGTTTCCTTTTCAAAAGTTTAGGAGGTTACACGGCATGTTAAACTCTTGACGAAATCTAAGGCAGAGGAGCGAGGAGGTTCACTACTGACAACCTTCCAAGAGAACCCAGTCATTAATGAGGCCCAACTGTCACCAATCATATGGATTCCCATGTGGGACACACTTTAGCATGAACACAACCTTGCCTTGGAAAGCATATATGGGAAAATATGCCGGCGGGGGAGGGTAGCTCCCGAATTCTACTGCTCAAAGATGTTTGCCATAGACTAGGCTGACTCGCCCATTCAGGCACCCCTCACGTTCCCGCTGGAACTACCCATCAGATTTGAGATCACCCACGTGTGTTTTCCCACCTCTGGAGGCTTTTATTTTCTGCTTCCTCCCTTCTTAGTACAGTGCCAATCACTGCTCTCTCCCGCCGCCCCCTTCCCCAAAGGCTCTCTGAGGCTGCTCCCTTTGTGATTGGCATCTCATTAATGAAGAAGGGCTGGTGTCTCTCATTACAGTTACAGTGAGTGAGAGGACCTCAGAACTAATTTACTTGCTCTCACTAGGGAAGACACTTGCCTCCATCAAGAACTTCACTTTCCTGCTGCCTGTGGCAATAAAAGAACCCGTTTTGTTTTAACATTAATAAGGTGAGAGAATAGAGAATTTCCAAAAGAAATTAAGAAAGGCAATAGGGTAGGTGTTGGCCCGTGGAAGTTTCCCTGAAGCAGGTCTGATGGTGGAGTTGAGCCAGGGGCCTTTGATGCAGCAACATCTGGACCACATAAAAAAAAAGCCTGGCAGGCAAATAAGAGGCCCGTCAAGCAGAGAAGCTGGGGTGGGAAGCAGGAGGCATGGGTTCTAATCCTAGGTCCTCAGTCCCTGAGTGACCTTGGGCAAGTCTTTGAGTTTTCCCTGGTCCTCAATGTTATTATCAGTAAGATAAAGGGATGGAATAAAATGGTCTCTTAGGGTTCTCTCAGCTCTAAAATTTTAATATTCTATAAATGAGACTGTGGACTATTTAAAACTTTTTTCATGTTTGGAGTGAGTTTTTTTTTTTTTATCTCTGGCAACAAATTAGAAATTCCTCCAGAATTAAAGAGCATGGAATGGAAATCATTTGGCTTCTCCAGCTGAAAAGGTCAACTAGATTCAGAAATGTACTCCAAGGCTGTACTGTCTGCATGGAAACCTAATTAGAGATCATACTTCATTGGCTAAAAGGGATCAAACTTATCCGAGCTTTCATCTGGATATGTATTTTTTAAAAAATTACTCTGAGTTACTAATTCATTTATCTTTCTACTTACAGGAAATTCCACTTATTGATAAAGCTCTGCTTCAACACCCCTGCTCACTCTGAAATACCTTCTTTCTATCCACATTATGATCGTGCCCCTTTACCATGTTATACTTGAAATGCCTTGTCATTTAAGAAACCATACAAAGGATATCTTTAAAAATGGGATCATCATTTAGCTGGAGATGGCTTGTGTGCCTGGAACCAGAAGCCTGTCCTCTCGGTGGTATGCCTCCATGAAAGGAAGCCAGCCTGGAGACTGCCACCACAAAAGACAGCATCGTGTGTTGCCTTGATTTCTGTTCAATCGGAAAGCTGGTGCCCAATTTCAACATGGATAACAAAGCCATGGGAATCTGAAACGTCTACATTAGAAGGATGGCTTTATATTGGGAATATCCTCGAACCCAGGGCCCATTTCTAATCCCCCCTTCTCGCTTTCCCTGATAGAGGCTATTTTTGAAAGAGAAGAACTTTGGCCCAACTCAACACTTTGGTTTCTTACTGTTTACATCTATGAGTCAAAATTGCTTGCTCCCAAGACCCCCGACCAAACCAAATGAAAATAAATTCAACGTATGCCCACTGAGCCAGGCCTGGGAGTTCTGGAGATCAACTCAGAATCACGGTGTTTCTGTCACTCCCAAAACACTCCTACCTACTTCTACCTGTTCCTAAGTATTGCCTTAGGATACTGACAGTCTCTTCTCCTACTGACAGATTTTGAATGATATTAAAGCTAATCCTCTCTGGCTTGGTTAGGTCTTGTGTAAGATTCCCACACCCCACAATCAAGGCCTTGCAATGTGGTGTTGGAAGAGATAGCCAAGCTACCACGCCTATATCACGATTCGGATGAGGATAGTATTTTTTTTCGCCTTCCATGAAACAGCTTTGAAAACCTGAGTCACAGAACCTGCCTCATGCAAATTCTTCCACTCTCCTCCTCCCTGCCAGTATATTGGTACCTTCTTGTTAAAATGAGCAGAGAAGCATGAACAAGACTTCGATGGACCTCAGAATAAAATGCAAGATCTTCAGATTTCCATTGCATGATTTCACCAGGCCAAGGCAGCCCAGCTTCATTTTTACATGCACTGTAGCTCTAAGTATTTGCAGTGCTATAACCTGTAAGTATTTGTATGCCCACCCAAACCCCCCAGTACGGATACTTTACTCACTTAGCTTCTGGTAAGAAGCATAAACAAAAAGAATCAAAGAGTAGAAGGCAAGAAACAGGGGACCAATTTTCAGGTCATCCTTTCCTTCTTGAAAGAAGGAATTTGCCTGCAGTGTCTATAATTTAGAAGGTTTTAATGAACGGCTTCTACATTATTTATTACTCATAGAAAGCTGTAAACATCCCTCCCTAACCCATTATGATATTATCTTGGCAGAAGTCAAAAGGTTCAAACATTTGGCACTTTTCACTGGACTGTTGTTGAAAACAGTCGTGCTCTGTGAATGTAACTTCTCTCCTTCCTTGTTACATGGGATTGTGTGTGAGCCTGTGAGCCTGTGTCCGTATCATTCACTTGAGATCGTCAAAAGGCATCCTGGCTTTGTAATTTGCTCTTTTGCAGTTTCAACTTAATAAGAGATTCCAAAATTAGTAAAATAAAATAATAAAGTAAAATAAAGCCAATTTAAAAAGGCATCGACAGAATATACAAACTGGATATTCAAGCAGAAGTGTTTGAAATGCCTCAGCCTCATTTCAAAGAGCTTCCTGCTGTCAAGCCCAAACACCCAGACAGGTAGACTGCTGTGAAATATGTAGGCGATGCCTGCTGCCTGATTTTCAGATGGCGAGGAGGCATTTGAAAGCATCAAAGTTCCCTGTATAGATGTGTGTACATTAATCCCAGCCTCTGTGATCTCTGCACTCGCCTATTGTAACTTGCTGTTTAATAGATTGCCAAACTTTGCCCTTCACAGACTGCACATTTTTTTTTTCCCAAGGATCTGCTCCTCTCCCAGGAGCTTCTTGCTGGGGCCGAGTTTTAAAAGTTTTCATTCCTGGGCTTGTGCTATGGCATTGGGTCACTCTTTGAATTCTGCACTTTTGAACACCTCACTTGTTGGCTTGCTTTTCCTCGCCCCTGGTGTCGATGTCTGTATGTGGCTAAAGTCAGTGCCCTCCAACCATGAAGCATCTGCCAAGAGCCAGCCCTGATATGAATCATTAACAACCACGGCACTAGCCCTGTAAGAGCCTGTAATGTGGTGGGAGAGAAGACAGATCAAAGGCTGTCAACTGGCAGCCCACAGGTTGTGTACGGCCCATAGACATGCACTGTTTTGCCTACACTGTGTTTTAAATTCAGATTAGTAACGAACACAGAAAGGATGGGAAATTTCACTTAGAAATCTGTGGTGCTTCAAGCTCCTCTTGGAAAATTGGAAGGTGTGATTATACAGGGCTTCCTGCCTGCATGGGTCCCGTTTTAGTGGGGATTTGTATTTTTTTCTAAACTGAGTTGGTGGGACAGATACCATTAGGCACCTTAGCCTTGGCTTTCTTGATATCTTGATGTTACCTGCTGGGACATTGGCCTTTTGAGTCTGTGGTCCATGATAAAGACACACACAAAGGCAAATAATACTAAGTGGAATATTTGGGGGACACCAGCAGGTTCTCTAAACATGCCATCTCATTTGATCCTTCCAACACATCTGCAAATCTTGGATTATAATAACCACTTTACACAGGAAAAATTGGGGCTTTCTGTTTTTAAGTACCTTGCCCTATTTCACACAGCTGATGATAGAGGAGCTGGGTGTTGGAACTAGATCTATCAGCTTTGAAGCATTCTTCTTTCCAATTGGAAATGCAAGAAAGTCCTCAGGAAGGGTGCAGTATGGGCTCCCAGATCTTTTCCCGCTGCCACTCAGCTCTGCTCTAGTCTGGACACTTCTCACTGTAGCCTAGATATTCTTGGCCATTTGATCACTTCCTGTGTTTGTGTATTCTATTCCCTGTCTTCACCTTCCCTTCTGGACCTGCAAGCCTCTTCTTTCTTTGCAAGACCAAGATTCATTGCTAGTTCCTTTATGAAGGTTTTCATGACCTCTGGGTCAGTTTTTCTAACACTGGGGCTCCTAGAGGCTCCATTTTTACTCAAATGTCTCGTGGTAAAAGGTCAACATACTGGTTGCTTTTCACTGGACTGTGAGTTCCTAAAGGGCAGGGCCAAACCTCATTCATCACTCCACACCACCACGCCCAGCACAGATGCCTGACATGCAGGAAGTACTCCACGCAGGGTGGCCTATGGGTGGAGCTTTCCAGGCTGAATCATACACCTATCAAGGTCTCCTTGGGGGAAGTGAAATTGAATTGAAAGACAACAGTAAATTCCATTTGTGTTTCCATTTGTTTTCTCATCCCCCATCATGACACCCTTGTTTATCCTCCAAACTTTCTGCTTAACAAGACTTTGCCACTCTCTGCTCTTTTGCCAGATGGCAACGCACTCACTCCTTCCAATACCCAGATACATCCATCAAGCGACTTCGAATTTGAAACACATCAGAAACTTGCTGGGCACGGAACGGGTAATGAGGAAATGGCATATGTGCACCGTGGGATCATGATGGGGCTGTAAAGTTAATCAAGAAAGAAACAACTCCACCAAGAGCCTGTTAACATACCTGAAAGGGTGGGCAGGTTTGCCCAGGTGTGAGCTGTAGGCTGGCTGACTATCTCTTTCTCATGTGGGTTATGGGAAACCAACATGCCTCCAAATCACTGGCTGGACCTCAACTGAACTTTCAGTTTTTATTTTCCACTCCCATACTATTTTTGAAAGTGTTAAATAATTGCTTCTACAGCTAACCGCTAAAGGCCTCATTTAACAAAAATCAATATGGAGCAGTACAGACGTGGAATAAACCAAACCAGAGGCCAAAGCTTAAAATCCATCTCACCACTGAATCATAAGTGGTAAAATTAAGAGCAGGTGCACTGACAGACAGAGGTGAAGGCTGCCCTGATAAAATGGATTTTTGTTATGTCTAATGAACTCATCACATGCAGACAATGAGAAAGAACTGACCAGGTGGGAGGGAGGAGCTGACTTTGGCAATGATGTGTCTTCTCCACAAAATGATTATTTCAAAAAGCATGCAGAGTAGAGGCTGTAGTGCATTTAGGGGAGTTTCAATCGTCATTATTTCATTTCTCATCCTTGACAAATCTTCACTGAATGTGCGCTGTGGTTATTTTTAAAACATTCACAGTGAACACAGCTTGTGAAACTTTGGTCATCATCCTAATCAGCCAACTGATGCCCTATTCAAGATTGGTGTATGCCTGCGATCACATTTTAGAACTATTTTACCTGGCGTGAACAGAGAGTAAAGGAAGGCCAGCTCTTTCTTCTAATAACAGGTTCTTAATTGTTAGTCCCAGGAAGTAAAGTACAAAGGCAAATGAACTTCCATAATAAATATTTAAGAAAGATACTCTGAGTTAGAATGAAAGTAAATGTGCAAACTGCTATTTGAGAGAAATGTCTCGATAAGCCTCTTGCAAATACGATATGAAGCAGAAAGTCTGTTAACTCTTTCTGTCTCGTCTTTATTCACCAGGGTTAGGTGCTCTTACAGGGTGGGGGGAATCTGGACTAGTAATATCTTGATGAAGTTGCAAAAAGAAAAAGAAAACCCATTTGTTAGAGCACTGGAGCTGACATCTGCACCTGTAAGCCAAGATAATTACAGAGCTGCTCTGCAAATTTGGTTAGGGTTTAGGGGATAATCTTAGACTAATAAAATAAACCATCTCGAATGTTCTGGTCACCAGGTAGCAAAAACCTGCTTAGGTTTCAGTGGATTTCTTCTTTCTGGTCTCGTTGGGAGTCAGACATTGATGTTATAAACCCTTATGCCATGAGTATCCCTCTCTGAGGTCTGATATCCATTTGGAATCACCTCGGAAAACTCAACACGACCAGCAGTTTCTTGAAGCAGGCCACCCTCTCTGCTCCTGAACATTCTCTGACCAGGCTGGGCCTTCCTTCTCCTCCAATAATTAGCCACCCATTGCCCCCCTCCAATTTCTTCCAACCCTGTTTCCTACCCCTTGCATTTTTCTTGCTTCTTTCATTTTTCCTGTGTATGCTGACTGCCTAGTTCCTCTTCTACTAAATTATGCTCTATTATTTCCACAGCCTGAAGAACTCACAGCTGAAGCATTATTTCTAACCTTATTTTATATTCCTAGCATGTGCTATAACCTGTTTTGAGTTTTATTTGCAGCCAAGATGCTGACACAGCTCTAATTTTGTTTTCATATTTTGATTGGGTAGGAGTGTTCATTACTGTGGGTACTAGGGTAGGGAGGAAAAGTCATTTTAAAAAGACACAATTTACACCTTCCTTAAAGAGCTTTTTGTTTATGAATGCTGCCCATTTAAATTCTAAAAATTACAAATGTTCAAAAAATATATTCCTTTTTTTTTCTTGGAGAAAAAGGTTTTAATGAAAATTGTAGTAGTCCAGTGTGATTTTCCTATTCTGTTTTTTATGTCATGCCTATTATGTCTGATTTCCTTTTGTGTTTCTTAACTGACCAGCAGACACAGGCAGGTGTGGAAAGCCTATAAGTCAGGGGTGTGTAAGAAATGAGGTTTTCAAAGCCCAGTTCAGCTCTACACTAACCAGCCTTCCCAGGGACAAATGCCTCATTTGTGTCATTATTGAATGCATGGTTCATATTAAGCTTATATCTCATAACCAGGTAATTCATGAGTTTCAGCTACAGGGAACCCCTTAGCTGGGGCATAAAATTTCTAATGAGCTTTCCCATAAAGGAAAGCGTAGGATGAGTGAGGTTTCATGCTCCTTTATGTTTGTTTGTTTTTTAGAGACCCAGTCTTGTTATGTTGCCCAGGCTGGAGCTCAGCAGCTACACACAGGCCCAATTATAGTGCACTTTGGCCTCAAACTCCGGGGTGCAAGAGATCCTCCTGCCTCAGCCTCCTGAGTAGAAGGGACTACAGGGGCCCATCACCATGCCTGGCTAGTTGTCACAGTTCTTGCTGTATGATTCTCAGGCTCCTTATTGGAAGAGATTTAATTTCATGGGACTCCTCTAACTCCAAAATCTTCAAGAACTCTACAGTTAAGGTTGTCAGATCAAATACAAGATACCCAGTTACACTTGAATCTCAGATAAGCCCCAAATAATACTTTGGTGTAAGTATGTCACATGCAATATTTGGGACATAATTATATCAAAAATTATTCATTGTTTATCTGAAATTCAAACCTCTCTGGGCATCTTGTATTCTTATTTGCCAAATCTGGCAACTATATCCACAATGCATACAGGAACAAGCTTTAACTCTTAAGGTAGGACTTCTGAGTCCCACTTAGGCTGACTCTCTTTTCTTTCTGCCTTATTTTCTGCCATACCCAACTCCCCCTATCCTCCCATCCTCCATTCCACTGAGTTTTGAGTTACTTTCCCAGCTGGAATGCCTCCTTTCCTTCTTGCCCTGGATTACTCAAGACTGACTCCACAGGGAAGCCTTCCCTGAACACACAGCCAAAAGTAATCTCTTGGTTCTTTTAGACCAGGGAGCTCGTTCTGGGTGGACCATTCATTGGTACATTTCACACACTTGCCTGGGAGCTTCAGCTAACATTTCATCGGTACACTGCATACTGCATCTTTCCAAGAAGGCACAAGCTCTTGGGTAGCAGTGACCTTGCCTTACACTTCTCTGTGTGCTTTGCAGTGTCCAGCACTAGGCCTTTCATATAGTTGGTGCTCATGAGATACTTACTGTAAAAAGACCACTATTGATTGTCACTGAGCTGCTCTCTTTTGCAGCTTCACGTCTCTCACACTTATTTCCCTGCATTGAGGGAGGGCTCAACCCCATCTCCACAATGTGAGCATGAACTCCATCACATACCTCATTAAAAA